GAGCGGCTGCGTGGTGCTGAGTTGCCAGCCGGGTTAAACCACGACAGTGGGAGTCCTCTGAGTTGATTTCTCTTTATCCTGAGTGATCCCCCAAACCCGTGTGTTTCCCAGGGCTGCTCTGCAGAGCCCAGGTTGATGCCCTGGGGCTGTCTTGGCCAGTGGTTGCGAAGGGTGGCCAGCAGCCACGTGGATTTGTGCAGCAATGGCTCTAGGAGGCCAGAAGACTGGGAGAACGTTGCAGCGGGTGGGTGAGGAGAGAGAAGCAGGTTTGTGTCTAATGTCCTTCCCCAGAAAGGCAAGCAGCATGAGGAGCGTCCTTAACGGCGATCTCTGTTGGTGAGTGCTGCAGGGGTTGTGGCAGGAGGCCGTCCTTGGCATTCCCTGTGGGCGCTTGGGAACATGGGTGCTCTGGTGGAGGTGGCACCTCTGGGGAGGAGACGGCCGTGTTGGAGTCAGCTGCTTCTGAGGTGTCTCCAGCTGATGAGTGCCAGGGCAGTCTCACGTGCGGAGCAGCTTTTTGGCTCCGTACAGTTTTCCATAGATCTCTCCAGTTACGGCAAGGAGCACCCAGGAGAGGGAAACAGGTGTCCTTGCTTCCTGGTGCTCTGAAGTCCTTTGGAGTTGTCCTCTCCATGCATCCAAAAGAGAGCAATGTGTTAGTGTGGAGTTAATTTAAAAAGAAAAAAGCTTGATTGCTTTTTGGAAGTGTTTTAAAGCTGAGCCACATGAGTCGCTGTTGAAGATAAAAGGTGCCCGAGTGTAAGCTGGGGTTCTCCCTTTGTTTGTGTTTCTGCAGAAATGGGTGGTCCCTCTCTGCTTTCCTGGCATTGGAGATTTGATGGGGTGTAGGACTGGCAAATCGGGTTAACTCTGCCAAAATCTTGACTATTGGGACACTATTTTGGGATTGACGAGAAGAATCTTTTCCCCCGTAGTTTTCCTGAAATAAACAGATAGAAAAATGTTTTGAACTTGTCTGCTGCCTACCTCGAGCTGTGCACTGAGAGGTGCCGTTTTCACAGGACTGATTTTCATTTCTATTTTTAAGAAATAGCACAACCTATAACCAAACCAACTGTGAGATGGGAGACTTTGCTGTTCCCTCTCGTGTGTAACTGAAGAAGCTCTGGTTTCCCTCTACCCAGGGTGTAGCTGAGACTATTTTGGTACTGAGCCGTAAGTACTGATAGATGTCACCTGTGAGAGACCTTGCCATCCTCATCCCGCTTCACTGGCAAGAAACCCTCCTGGTGATTCTGGATTAACAGAAAGTGAGAACAAGAGCTGAGCTGCTGTCTTAGCGCTCTCCTCAATTACCACGTGGTGCTTAATTCCTCAAAAATAAAATTATGGTGTAACGCTAGGACAGAAGGGTCCCAGACCCGGCTGGATGCCTCACCTCTGGCCTCTGCTCAGCCAAAGCTGGCATTCCCATTTCTCGTTGGGTTTATAAAGTGTTGATGAGGTCGTAGTAAACTTGATTTGCCTACCTGGTACCCAGCTCCGTCGCCCCATGGGAAGAGCAGGCATGGGCATTGGTGCTGGATATGGCCCTGGGCTGTTCGTCTGTCCTGAAAATCAGATTTCTGCAGTCACCCTCTGTTTGCATTCCCATAAGCCTGTGAATAATTCCAGCCTTCTCCGCTCACCACATTGTACCTGCATCACCCCTCGGGGCTGTTGTCGGCTCATGCATTGGCCTCTCGAAAACTTCAGCTTTGAGGAGCGGTGGCAAAGAAACGCTTTTTTTTTCTCTTCCTTACGCTTGGTCCTGTCTCTGCAATCGTGGCTTGGAGGATGCAAATTTAAAAGTATTTGATGCCTGTGGTTGATACACCTTTTTTTATCACAGTA